GACACGAAATTTCTTCGACACAGTGGCTTCGCATTCCCAGCATTCCTTAGTTTCAGTCATATTTTTGCTATTCAAAACGTAATATAAAAGCTGTGGGATTAACGGGGATTAAAAAAATATGTTATAAGGCAAGGTGAAAGCTTCAAGTTTGCTTAGTGAACCTAACCCGTTTCACAGAAGAGATAAGCTACCCGAGCTTCCGAAAAAAGTATTGTAAAACGTATAAAAAAAATCTTTAATCAATTGTGTAACGATCTACAAGATCGGGGCACTCGGGACGTTCCTACCTCGAGGGTGAAACCCGCATTGTAAATTAGTAAAATCCGCTACATAGATCACGTTACAGTGAAATCCGCGTTTAGCTATGTTTTTTATTATGCAAAAGCGAATTTACTAATTCACAGCATGAGTTTCACCCTGTCGTATTATAATGATTATATTACAACAGGGTGAAACCCGCATCGGAGGTGGTTACGTTATTGATGCACATCACTGCCTAAATGACATCTAACCCTAATTAAAAATAGGTCTGCATCAAGAAAGTAACCAAAAAACGCGAGTTTCACCCTTTTTGTATCCACACTGATCTACAAAATCAACGCGGGTTTCACGTCCTATTATATTTATTCAAAGATAATTTCTATTTGTACACCGGGGTATATACACGGGCAATATAGATATCTCAAAATTCTGATTATGAAACCACCTTTTGGTTTCTAACAAACAAAATTTCTTCTGAAATTTTGTATACGTTTGTATTGCATGTTACACGAATTTGTAAATCAATAAATTATACCCCGTGTATAAACACCTATATTTTTATAATTGATCGATTTAATCTGCTGACAAGACTTATGATCCAACCCACGTATATGAACAAAAAAATCATTCAAATAATTTATCAAAATAAAAAATAGTATATATATTATATTCATGATACCCACGATTAATGAAATTTAAAATCTCTTTGTAGTAACGGTAATACTAATTTACAATTCTCTCGATCAACTGGTTATCAGCCGATTATGTCGGATTAACTAATCAAGCATTTTACTCAACTGGCTTGTCAGTTAACAGCCTAACTGGTTCAAATACTAATTATGCCTGATCCTGCCCTGACTTGTTGATCAGGGGTAGCGATGCGTCGTATTGGCGATGAATTCACTTAGATTGCTCTAGAATTCGTTGATACATTTCCTAATGCTATTAGCGTACATCGCTGTATACAGTATTTTTCAAAAGTCAAAATTAAATAATACTCAGAAAGTGATGTGTAAAGGGGGATACTTTTTCAAGGAGTTAGTGTATGCTGTACAGTAAACCTGTTTTACTGTAGAAATTACACATGTGGCAAAAAAATAATCCATGGCATGATTTTATTAGTCAAATGCTCAATCGCAAACAGATCATCTTGTATATTGTGGTACGTAATAAGCCTTAACAGAATCGCATCTAGAACGTAGCATATGTGTGAACGTTTTATGATACCAGTACAAGTCTCGTTATAGTGAACTCTCATTATAGTGAACCTCCTGTTATAGTGAAGAACAGTTTATGTAAAAACCTTCTCGATATAGTGAATTTACTAATAGGGTCTCGATATGAAGAAAATCTTAGCCCGATCACTTCACTACGTATAACAAGAGTGACTTATATCTGTAAGTCGAAACTTCCGCGAGTCAAGTTCTAAGACAAATTACAAATGAGGTAAACCTCGTCTTTTTAATTGATAAATCAGAATTATTACGAAGAATTAAACGACACAGTGCTAAAAAAATAGTAACATGACAACACCGGGTGGCTTGGTTTGTTTCACATGATCTGAATGTGCGTTGTGATTGGATTATTGTTGTAAGATGTTATTAGTGGCTACGGATCAGTCAACGTGCGTACGTACGTACGTTTATGTGTACGTGAAAGTTAGTGCTTTTCCCCATTTTCGATCAACTGATTTTATCAAACATGCAAAATCGCGCTCTTAGAATCCCAAGAACCACTAGAGCAGCTGCGAGAAGATTGGCACAGCCTCCGTCCGAATCTACTCCTGCCGATGATTCATCCGCCGAAGGATCACAAACAATCGATTCTATGGATATAGATCAGCCGGTGGTTGTGCCTACAATAATCCGGTTGCGATTTGGAAACACAAATAATTCTCCAGATGCTCTGCCAACATTAAAACGTAAACCAGGCAGACCACGTAAAAATGTAAATACTGATTCAAGCCCTCCAAAGCGTATTCGACTCAATTTTAAAGGTAAAGCAAAGAAAATTGAGAATGTTCAAACATCTGAAGAGATAGAGACGCCAGAGAATAATGGCGCGCAATTGATGGAAATTATTGATGAATCACAGAGCATAAGAGTTGATAATGAATCACAACAGCAGCAGCAACAACTGCAACAAACAAATATTGATTATAAACAGCCATCGGAAAGCAAAGTAATAGCCAACGAAGAGAATCAGGATGAAGAGATACTGGATGAAAAAGGAGAGCAAAAAATTACTAAAGATGGGGAGCTTCTGGGAGGTAAGATATTAAATGATTGAGTAAATTCGTTACGTTTCTGTTACACAAAGAAATAAAATTTGCTATTCGTAATGTCCATATAGGCCGAAAGTTTAAGGTACCAGTTTTTCAATTGCCAACTCGTGGAAGCACCTGGTATATGTGTTCTATGGATCCGGCCAAAGTTCTTGGATTTCGTGATAGTTATTTGTTCTTTACGAAAAATCAATCATTAAAAAGAATAACTGTAACCGATGAAGAGCGCGATTATCTCATTTCTACAGGAATTTTACCGACAATTTTTCGAAGTAGACCAATTGCTATTGTATCTGCAAGGTCAATTTTTAAAATGTTCGGTTCGAGAATTATTCAAAATGGTAAACGGCGACGAGATGATTATTTTGAATCTTCGATTAAATTCGATGATGATCCAAGTGGTAAAGACTCGGAGGCGGAAAGCACTATTAAAGTCCTGCCAAGACGTTCCAATACTAGTCACATTATTATTAATGAACCAAATAGCTGGATGTACCAGCTCGCGCTTTCTTCTAGAGAATTTAACAATCGAATGAAAATATGTCGGCATGAGAGTCTTAAATTTTATGATCCTCACACTAACATCGAGCAAGTCCCTCTTAATACACAATCAACGCGAATTCGGGTGGAAATGATATCACCACCACTTCCATTGTCTTCTCCGGCAAGGAATAATAATACATCTACTACAATTATAGAACCAGAAATTAAGCTTTATCCACTTCCTGCAAATCCATTCCAGACACTTGAATCAGAGGTCATGGATGTTTTACCAGAAGATATAAAGAAAATTGTTGTTGATATTAAAAAGAAAGATGAAATTGCCCGTTACGAAGAAGGAAATAAGTATCCTATTGCATTAATGAGAAATCAACTCCAAACCTCATACCCATTGTATGTATATATATATATTTTACCATTTATAAAGAATATAAATTTACACTTTATTATTATGAATAATATTTTAATAGGCATAGTTCAAGATTTCAACCTGATCCTTCCAAAACGGTAACACCTATGGCACCTTATAACCCTCCTAGAGCAACCGTTACGAATGATGATCAATCTTATAACTCGTACAATAAAAATTCGATTTTATCTCAAACATCCATTAATCAAGTATATACATTTATTAATTTCTTGTTTTATATATCATTTATTTTAAGAATATTAATTTATATACAGAATCTGAACCAGATCGGAAAAATTGGGCCACAGTATACGTCAAGTAAAGCAAATCCTCAATTTATCTGTGGAGTCATAACTGCTACAACTGGACAACCATGTAGGCGTGCTGTAACCGCTGATGGGGAAAGATGTATGTATCACAAAGATTCCTCCAATGTACCTGGAAAATCTTCTATAAAGCCCAAATCAGAGGTTGCTCAAATGGATCCAGTTATGGTACCTATTATTTAATTAAGATATTAACCAAAAAAGTGGTATTACTAAACAAATACTAAAAAATTAACCTCATTATTATTGAACACTAGCCAAATATAACTGCCGAGTCTTCCAGAGTTGTACCAGCTTTTGCATCGAATACGCAGTCTTTTCTTGTTCCGGAAAATGCTTGTGCAATATGTTTTTCCACTACTCTTCCCACAACAATCGCACCACCTGTGAACGGTGCACCATGTTCAAATACTCATACTATAAAATGTTCCCAATGTAATCGCAAATATCACCCACTTTGTCTCTCTCTCACTACCCCAAGGCTTATGGTAGCTATGGAAAGTTACCAATGGCTATGTAATGATTGTAAAACATGTGTTGTATGTAGAACATCTGGTGATGAAGCGACACTATTAATTTGCGATGATTGTGATCGTGGCTGGCATCTTGATTGTAGCTCACCAAAAGTAACGGAAGTACCACAAGGTATATTTCATAATTGTTTTTTTTCAAACAATACATATTTAAATTAATTGATGATGTCATTGCTTTTTTAGGTCCTTGGCTATGTTCACTCTGTGCGCAATGTGACTCATGTGATGAAAAAGCTGCGTCCCTAAATGATGCGGCAAGTGGTTATCATCATATTAATGCAAAACCTGAAAATGCAAATTTTCCAATTTATTTGGCAACTATTTGCGGCAAATGTAAAGACAATTTCTCTCAAGATCGATTTTGTCCTATATGTCTTAAAACATACTCTGAAGATGAACAAGAAAGTGATGACGACAAAGATATGATTTGTTGCGATCAATGTGATAGATGGATTCACTCTAGATGTGATTCGGCTCTTACACCTGAATTATATCAAGAACTGGTTGAAGTTCCTGATACAAAGTACAAATGCCCGCTGTGTAAGGGGCTAATTCAAACTTTAGTTGAAGGGAGTGAAGAACAATATAAAGCATTATCTGGATTTCCAATGGCGAAACCAGTTGCCTTGATCTCAGGTCGGCCCATTCGGGGGATTGTGAATTATAAAGGAAAGAATGTGGCTGTACCTGAAATTAGAGGTTTGGAAAAAGATTGATAAACGTATCTTTTAAGTTATTCTGTATATATGTACATGGTAGACTTTTGTTTTTAATTTTTCAGCATGAGTTAATATTTAAATTTTTACTCATCATCATAGACATAAAATTATCTGGGTTTAAGTAGAATTTATTTTATAAAATATTACACGTAAAAAGACTTTGTAAATTTGCAGTTAATTGTTCACGTTTTGGTATATAGTCTTCAGATCAATTCGATTTATGTCATAACCATATATAATAATAGCGATAGTATTACGAGATTTCGGGGTTAACCTTTAATTATTGATTTAATATAGCTACACAAGTTAATACTTGTTAACAAATCGAATTTGTAGAGAATTTATATCTGGTCTAAGTGGCTAAAATAATAATCAAAATTGTTGGTTGAAACTAGTGTTCCGAAGTTCAGTTCAGTTCAATTTAGGTTCAGGTTCAAGTTCAATTGAACCTGAATTGAACTTTAAATTTTGCAGATCTTTGAACCTGAACCTGAACTGAACTTTAAATTTATGAACTTGAACTGAACCTGAATTCAAAGTTTTGGTTCAGTTCAAGTTCAGTTCAAGTTTATGAACATGTTCAAGTTTAATAAATTATATACAGTATATATTATATGTTATTAAAATAATCTACTTCTAATAATAAGTTATTTTCTTTTTTTAAAAGAAAAATAAAAATTTCTTAAATATTGTATAAAAATAAGCTATTTATATAATTGTCAGTAGTTGCTCTATAGTAAAGTTACATTTTACTAAGTAAATTGATTTATCTTATTAAGTGAAAGTTGTTCAGAAGATCAAAATACATATATTTTAAAAGTTTCATCTAAATTAGATAACTTTTTATTAATATATTTTTGTATATTATGTTTGATAAATTTTTTTTTTATTTTTAATACCTTCGCAATATTGCGAGAAGGCGGATTTTATTAGGTATTTAGATAATACATTCTTTGTTACCCTATCCTGTACTATCCACCACAATCACGCCACCTCATAATCTCATGCTGCTTCATAACCTATAGCAGAAGTGTTCTTCAGCTGTTTTGTTCTTACCGGTTTTTCCTAACATTTTAACTATACTATAGGTCTAAACTGAAGACCACCCAGATTGACATCTGCTATACTACTTGTACCCTAATTCTATAGATAACCCAGTAGGGTTCTCATACTACCAGGTTGCCCTAGGG